CTGTGGCCTTAAGCCTCCCTGAGGCGAGACCTTAGAGCAAGTAATGCATGCCTTGTGTACCTGCTCAATTGTTTGTTGCAGACCTGGCGAGAAAAAGAGGCCCTATATGTAAGGATCGGTGGATTTCAGCAATAATTTTAGGGACCTGTTTCTGGGAAAGGGCGATTCTGCTATTTAGGAAGATCCAGCCCTGATTAGATTCTGTTCCCCACTTTAGTATAAGGGCCTGTTTTTCTGACGGTGGGTATACAGGCTGTGTTGCCGTGGTAAGGAAGAGAACAAGGATAGGGGTTAACTTGGCATTAGTTAAAGATCTTGCTGCTGTATCTGCCCACGCATTGCCCCAGGAGACGGCATCATGCTGGGCCCAGTGTCCTCGGCAGTGTATGACTGCAACTTCCCTGGGCAATGATAAGGCCTGTAAAAGGTTGGAAATCTGTGTAGCATTGATTATGGGGGTTGGGGCAAGGAGTTAAGACAGGGCGTGGCGTCGGTTAGGAGTGGCAGTAGGAGGTGGGCGGATGATGGGCTTGAGTGTGGGGTGCCAGTGAGTTGGAGAGTGGCACCCCACAGTCTGGAAAATGTCTCATCCTAAAAGGGGGACTGGGCACGAGGGTATGATTAAAAAGGAGTGGGAAAAGGGGTGTCCCTCGAGGACACAGGCTAAAGGATGGGTTTGATTAGGACAGGAAGGCTTACCATTAATTCCCATGACTGAAACCTGGGAAGGTGTGCTAGGTCCTGAGTAGGAAGGCAATACAGCATAGGAAGGCCCCATGTCCACTTAAGAAGGAAATGGACTTACCCGCTACCTGTAGTATTACCCTCGGCTCAGCGAGTGTGATGGGGGTCCTTGAGTTTGGGCCTTGTTAGTTGTCCAGCAAGCCAAGAAGTTCCAGTGATGGGACCACCTCCTGCGGACCGGCCTGTCCTCCACATAGAGGTGTGGGGAGTGAGCCTGTAGTCCGGGATAGGCAGTCAACTTTCCAGTGTTCAGCCTGTTTGCAGCTTGGGCAGGGTCCAGGAGGTGGACGAGGACAGGGGCACTGTTGTGCCCAGTGTCCCTCTTGGCCACATTTGAAGCAGGACCTGGGCAGGACCCCTGAAGAATTTTGGGAGGGTTTTGATGGACCCCCTCCACCAGATGCTTGGTGGGCTGCCGGCCTCAGGGCTGCTACAAGAGCTTGGGTTTGGAGGCTCACCTTTTGCTGTAGACGGGCCTGGCAGGTGGCTTCAGCCTTTTCCTCTCGGCCATTAAAAACTTTAAATGCCATGTTTACCAGGTCTCATATGGGAGTTTGGGGGCCCTTCTCAGCCTTTTCGAGTTTTTTCCTAATGTCGGCTGCTGACTGGGAGATGAAGTGAGTGGCTAAGACTGTATCCCCCACTAGGGAGGCCGGATCCAATTGAGTATGGAGGATCATAGCGTTAGTTAATTGGTCTAGGAAGGCCGCAGGATTTTTAGTAGGGCCCTGAGTTATTTCCCTCAGCTTATCATAATTAACCACTTTTGGAGCCATGCTCTGCATGCCCGCTAGGAGGCATTGTAGCATTCGGTCTCTGCGGCGGCAGCCATCTTGACCTGTTTGATAGTTCCAGTTTGGGTCGGCCTCGGGGACTGCCGCTGCCCCCACCGGCATTTGGTTGTTGGTTAGATGTACCTGATCAGCGTGTGCCTGGGCTGCTGTAGGGATTCGGTCCCGCTTGTCTGGAGTGAGGGTGGAGGATAGCATTACATATGTGTCATGCCAGGTTAGGTCATATGCCTGGGTAAGACAGCAGAACTCTTTGGTGTAGGCAGTTGGGTTAGTGGAGAAAGACCCCAGGCGCTTCTCGATAGCCGATAGGTCAAAGAGAGAAAACAGAACGTGCACTCGCACAACTCCCTCGGCCCTGGCTACCTCACACAAAGGGCAGAGGAATGGGCAGTTGTGAGAGCGGGTACGAGCACTGACAGGGGAAGTTATATTAGGGCTTTGGGGAGGAGAAGGAGAAGAGGGAGGAGGGAGTTGAGGCCCCACATAAGGAGGAGGGTTGATAAAGCGGGCGGGGCAGGACAGGTCTTCCGGGGTTTTCGGAGAGCGCAGAGCCGGGTGGGGCTGAGGGCAAAGGCAGGGTTTTGGCTAACAGGACCTGGGAGGAGGAACAAGAGGAGCAGAGGGCGGGTCAGGAGTGCAGACACCAAAAGGCCTGGACATAGGAGACCTCCGACCACTTGCCGTTTCTTTGGCAAAAGTCATCTAAATCTGTCAGGGCATTGAAGTCGAGTGTGCCCTCTGGAGGCCACTTAGACTGGTTGTCCAGAGAGTACTGTGGCCAGGCCATGGTGGAGAGGAAGAGCAGCATTTTCTTTTTTATGGAAAGGCCCAGTTTGGGTAAATTTTGGACTAGACATCCCAATGGTGACTTGGGGTCTAGGCGGGACTCCTGATTCCCCATAGTTCACTCTCTGTCGTGGGGTAGTCAGTGGTGAGGAAGGATTATAAAAAGATATTATATCCAACACGGGCAGAAATACTCCTGTCCCAGAGGGGGTGGCTGAGAGAACCTACAGGATTATAATAAGAAAGAAAATAAAAAGAGACAGGGCGAGGGCTACTTGCCACGTGGCAGAATTAGAGGAAGTGAAAAAGAGACAGGGCTAGGGCTATTTGCCACATGGCAGAATTAGCATGAATTCAGTAAAGGCTCCCTGCAGCCGGTGATCTGTTATCCACTGGAGGAGATTCTCCACTTTAAGGGAAACCGACTTACTCCACGCTATGTTGGCTAATAAGAGTTGGACAAATTGGGTAAACTGATGGGTGAGACAAAACCCCAAAGAAGGTTGAGGGATAAAAGGGGTGGGGAGACCAACCTGATGCCTTCCCAACCACGTCCCTGAAGGGATGTTTCAGGGCGTCTTGGCTAAGGTGTACCCGTATAACCCCCAGACCTGGTCACTTTCAGGTCTCTGAGGTGAATCACCATTATGCCTTATGACGTCCCCATGGAACCATGGGTTGAGGCCCACACAAGCCCCATAGCCCTTAGGCCATGGGACTACACATAAACTCACTTGCTCACTCACTCCTGCTGCAGTTAGAAGGAGAAACTGAAAGTACAGTTAATTAACGGGAGTTTTTATGCCAAAGGGCTGGTTTGAGATAGATGTTTTAGTGGCATAAGCCAGGGGTTTGGTCCTGCTGTTGGGCAGGGCCTGGGTTCATAGACAGGGCTTCTGATTACCCAAACCTCCGCGGCTGCTGCGGAGATGATCGGAAGGACGGCTCAACGTCCCAGACCGCACTATCAACCACCGGAGACTGCGGGAGGGATCAGGAGGGTGGGGACGTTTCCCTTAGATTCCTGTCCCCTGGGAAACCGCTTACAGGGAGAAGACAAGAGTGTAGGGACGTCTCCTCTACACTCAGGTCTCCGGAACAGGGCCGGGGCCTGGCCCGCAGCGAGGAAGGAGTCCCTGATGCGGCCGCGATTACGGGCAGGGAGTCCACGAGGCAAGCTGTAGGAGAGGCTATGGGTAATAGAAGTCTTACCTAATGGCGGAGTGGCTCCCCGTACTTGTTCCTGGTCCGGCTTCGGGTAGAGGAGTCAGTTGCCCCCAGGAGGGGTCTTGCAACTCCTCCTGGGTTTTCAGCACCACTTGTAAGGGTCATTGCCAAGTTTAAAATGAGGAAACTGAGGCCAGTATAAGAAAATTAAATGTCAATTTATTCAGCTCCCGGTGAGGTTCCATGGTCCCGGGGAAGGGGCCAGAGAAGTCGCACTGACTTCTTAAGGCATAGGGTTCTTATAGCTATAGCGAGCGAGGAGGAGCAGGGTGCTCTGATTGGTTATGGGGAGTGAGATTCAAACGGGGTCGGGCCGCCATTGGTTGGCAGGTTGGCGGGCAGACGCAGCAGGGAGAGGTGTCCAGTGCAGAGCCTGCTGCTGGGTGCAGGGCTAGGTGCTGAGTGCAGAGGTGGGTGCATTGCCACGCTGGGGGAGCTACATGGCAGAGCTAGGTGTTGAGTTCAGAGCCTGGTGCCAGGTGCAGAGATGTGACATCGGTTTTGGGCACCGAGAGGAGTGGGTGTGTCCGAGCTCCTGGGGAGGCAACCAGCCTTACAGTACCCATGAAAATAAGCTGTGAATTTGCATTGTCAGGGTGAGGGAGGTAACCTGGGGAGACAGGTGACCTGCTATCCTGTAGCTATCTATTTAGGAACAAAAGGAAAGGTAGTTTTTTTGTCTGAGTCAGTTTCCAAGCTTAACTTTTCCTTTTGGCAAAGTGAGTTTGGGGTCCCAAGATTTTACTTTCCTGTCACAGACTACAAATGGAAACTTTATAATAAAGTTTCTAAATCAGTGGTCTGTAAACGAAAAAGATGCTAATATTGTCAAATGAGAATTCAGGAAACTTCACATGAGCTCTCTGGTCACCAACACTGGATAAATATTTGGAAAGATACCAAGAGAAATCCAGTTTGGGTTTATAATTTGTGTGATTTCATGAAGTGGAACCATTTTGGGCCCCCAAAAATAGAAGTACTTTTTTTTTTACTTATCTGTGGAACAAATTTTCAATCCAAAAATAAAAACTTCATCAATCTATTTGTTTGCCTCTTGAAGCTCTACCCTGTTACCAAAGCACAGTGAGCCTTCGGATCAGTCTGAAGAACTATAATCATTTTGAAAAGTAATTCTGCAGCAGCTAATAAAATTTATAAACACAGATACTCCTCATTCTATCAGACTCACTATAGCAAATCTATCAAACAGATACAAAGGCATTGGTACATATGAACATATGGAACAAGGCATTTATTGAAGCATCGTCTTAATGACAACAATCCAGTAGCTACCTGGATGTTCGTAATAGAGAAATGGATGAATAAACTGTTATATCATATGTTATGAAAACATGCGTATCTACTAAAAACAAGTGATAGCAGTTCTTCGTTGAAAGAGACACATTTTCAAATATTAAAAACTCAACAAATTTAACATATTTACAAAATAATGCAACCTGTTTTCACTCTTTATTAAATTTAAACAGAGTTTGCTCAGGCAGTGGCCAAATCTTACACAGCTTCCCAACACAATCAGACTGTGTGTAAAACCACTTTTCTTTGCCATAGTTTTATCAAAGCCCTTTTCATCTCACTGTTTCTTAAGCTGTAGATGAGCGGATTGAGCAGAGGAGTAAGCAACGTGTAAGCCAGTGACATCAGTTTCTTGGCTTCTGGTGAGTAGCCAGATTTGGGTTGTAAATAAGTCATACTGGCTGTGCCATAGAACAGGGTCACAGATGTGAGGTGAGAGGCACAGGTGGAAAAGGCCTTTTGTCTCCCAGTAGTTGAGGGCATCTTTAGGATGGCAAACAGGACTCGAATGTAAGACAAGAGGATCAACAAGAAAGGAACCATAACAATCAAAATGGTGCCTGTAAAGGCATAGATTTCAAATAAGAAGGTGTCTGCACATACAAGTTCTAGTACTGGGGGAGTCTCACAGAAGAGATGATTAATTTCACTGGGGCCACAAAACGGAAAACTAAATATCCAAGTGGTCTGCACAGTAGCCACCATGATCCCTGAGATCCACGAGAACATTACTAATTTCATAAAAACCCCTCTGTTCATAATCACCGGGTAGTTCAGAGGATGGCAAATTGCAGCAAATCGGTCATAAGCCATTGCTCCCAGGAGAAAACATTCAGCCCCACCAAAAAGAAGGATGAAATACATCTGTGCAAAACAGCCCATAAAAGAAATCATGGTTTTCTCAGTGGAGAGCACCACCAGCATTTCAGGCATAATGACTGCACTGAAACTCACCTCCACCACAGATAAGTTCAGCAGGAACAGGTACATGGGAACGTGGAGACTCTTGTTTAAAGAGATGATTACTATAATGATGGCATTTCCCATCAGGGTCACCACATAAATAACCAAGAAGACCCCAAAGAGATGCTCCTGGAGTTCAGGAAAGTTAGTAAAGCCCAGGAGGATGAATTCAACCACAGAGCTTTGATTTTGTCTTTTCATTTCAGTAGTTGAATCTTCTGTTGTTTTTATGGATCTGGTATTTCGAGTATGAAGTCACTCACAATCCCATAGTACGAGTTCGAATCTGGAATTCTTGACAGCAGATGTAATGACAAGCTCATTTTGACAGAACTTCAGGTTGGCACTTTTGAAGAATGGCCAATGACTTGTAATAGTGAATCTTTAAGACATAAAGAAGTGAAGTATTTTTGGTTCAGAAACCTTGTTTTTAAAGTACAAAATAACAGTCAATGTTATCTGGCAACATCTTTGTTATGTAGATTGCTCTCTCTCCTCTCGTAAGGCCAAGTTCCGTTTTAAAACCCCTTGCTTTCTGCCCAAAAAGTGAAGCAGTGTCCTTAAAGGCAGGAGCCTGTACCTCTTCCCTTAATTGGATTCTGCAAGCATTGAGCAACTGAACCTGCGTTGTGGTTACACCTGGATTGGGAGCTTGTCTGGAGCTTGGATGCAGTCCTAACTCTGCCAGTGTCTCCGAGATGGGTCTCTGCCTCTCCTTGCACTTGGGTTCCCCATCTATATGCGTTGGAAGCAGCAGAATGATCCTTTCTGGCTCTAACATGGGTGTTTCTCTAATTGGTTGATAGAAAACTGCAGGCTTCAAGGCCTCAACTTCAATCAGATAGGAACTGGGCTGAAGGGAGCATGGAATAGTGGTGGGTGGGCACACAGGCAGCATACATGCCGCCTGAGTCCCTTTGGGCCTGCCAGTCCCATGCACAAATGAACATTTTCCTCCCAATCCAACTGCCTTTCCAGAGCCCCTCTTAGGGCAAAGCAACTTTATTTTCCCTGCTCTCAACCAGATCAACAATCCCTGTCCCCCAATATTCCCTCACTGTCAGGGCCCACAAGTCTTTAAAATCTGGAGTCCCCCTGGCCTCACGAGTCCATCCCTGCTGACACTGCTCCACCTCACTGCATGTTTTCCTCTCCCTTCACCTTCTCTACCATTAAACGGAAACCTAACTGGCTATTCCATGTTTTATACCTCTTCCTCCAATCTGTACCTCAAATCTCTGACAAAACAATGTCATTCTCCCTCCCAGAAACTTCAGGGTCTCCCCTTATCAGTAGAATACAATACTCACTTCTCAGGCTGGCATTTAAGGGGAACCAGAGTGATAACAACTGCTTTAGGAATATAATTGGGGGAAAGATTATTTCTGAATGGACAGTGAGGGTGGGAAACCTAATCACTAGATGGCATGGCATGGGTGGAAGGTCCATTAGGCAGAGGAGAAAAAGCATAGGGAGGAAAGCTGCCTTGCTCAAACAGAAGGCATTCAATGGCAGCTTAGTACTAGAATGGAGCTATAAACTGGCCTTTGTGTGATGCTTCAAAAACTAGCAGAATTTTACTGTGGGACAAGAGGAAGCCAGAAGGACAGAAGGACACAGCAAGCTGAAGACATGTCTTGATTTCATATCATTAAGACATTAGCAGAGAGGAAAAGGCAATTGATTCACTGAGTCTGACCATAGTGATATTAAAAAGCAAATATATGTATTAACTATAACAAAATATTTGAAATTTAAAACATCTCCTAAAATTAATAAAACAGACTTGGCAGGAAAAAAATTTAAATATCGTTTCTAATAGACGAAACTACATATTCAGCTCCAGGCCTATAAAACCAAATAAGTTTGTAAAATGAGAAAATTTAGAGTATCCTACTAAAAGCAGACAACTATTAAGGAGCTGATAAGGAAAAGTTATGGAAAAGTTATGGAAGAAATCTAAATTGCTGCCTTCATGAGTAATTTTTTTTAAGCTGAACTTAAATGCTCCATCTTTTTTCCCTTTAACTTGAAATAACATAATGCTGATTCAGCTAATTCACTGACGTTCTACTGGCTCTGGCATTAACTAACCATATGATCTCGGTCAAATAACTCACTCATCAGGGCTTCATCCTTCTACCCAATTGAACTTATTTCTGACCACCTTCACCCCACTCCCTCAACTACATACCTCTAAAAATTGATGACTTCCACAAGCAAACCATTTATAGATCTCAGTACTGTCCAAAATTTTATGTGACTATGAAAGGCACAGCAACTGACTTTCTTACCTGAGCATTGAGTTATCACTTGGTAAGTACCTCCAATTATCAGTGGGTATAACCACAGATGGCAAACCCACCAACAGGTACTGAAGCAGAATCTTCAGTTCCTTGACTGTCCCTGATTTTCATCCCACTTATGTTTTACCTCTTTGATTAAAAAACACTCCTGATTCAATGAATTGATTTTATATTACAACGCAGTAAATTTTATGCCCTGAGAGAAATCTTCTCTGGAGAACTTACACACAATTTATACGGACTTTACTATATGGGGATAAGAAAGCCCCACTGCACAAACCTAGAATACCACTCTTCCAGGTTTCCATAGGGAATTAACACCTCTTCACACAAGAGACCCAATTCCACCAAGACCTTCCTCATTAAGAAATGAAAGCAGAGACTGAATGAATGTTAGTAAGTAGGTACAAATGGAGAAGAGAGAAAAGAATGTGAGCATGACTAAAGGCAGAGTGATTTGGACAGAGAATCTGATTGGACAAGATAGACAACTTGAGCAATGGTAAGGAAATGTGTTACAGCAAGTAAATTGAAGTTTCTTTGTGGAAGGCCTAGAGATACCAAAACCTTTATATTTTCTAGTAGTAATATGGAAATACTAAATTTGGGGGGAAAGTCTTTCAGATAATTTTGTAGTCGAAACTTTTTAACTTGAAGTCAAAACATCTGAACTAACATGATTTTGAGCCTCATGTCTCTTCTCTGGCTCTATTACTTTTTTGATAAAATCAAGATAATGTTATTAACTTCACAAGGTATGTGTAACAATCAGAGTTAAGTTCACATTGATTCGAGCAATCAATAAGACTATTACCTCAGTTCCAGCAAAGTATAGGGATGAATGAATCTGCAGGCTAGGCTTTATCCAGAACTCAGATAATGTGACCAGGACCTGGATTTCTTTTTTTCTCTATTTCTCATCTCTGCTTTTCTAGAGTAGGTTCTATTCTCAATGAATATTTTCCCTTTAGTGGCAGTAAGGATGCTAACACTTAGGAATAGATCCTCTCTGCATCCAGTGGGCAATGTACCAGTTATCCTGAGGATAAAGCGTTTTCATCTGCAAAAACTAATCCAAGAACCCCTCCTACATTATTTGCTATGGTGGTATTACATGACTATCTACCTATAAACCAGACACCGTGATTGTGAATGAGATGAGAAATGCTACCTAATATGCAATATTCATAGCATTCTATCCTATAACCAGGTACAGCATCAATTCCAACTATGCATACCTGAAAATGTTTACTTAAAAAAAATTCCCCAAAGGGAAATTTAGGTACTGTTTATAGGAGAAAGAGGTCAACAAATGATGGTGATTCAACACACAAATGCTCCATACATAAAACATGGTATACTTTAAATTATTGTATGAAGGAGGTGAGATGAAAGCTGAGAAACAATAAAGTTGTATTCTTTATTATTGCAAGATCAAGTGGACAAAAGTAGAACGAGGATGTAATAGATGGAGCAAAATCATATATATTGCAGAGGATAAATAGTAACATATAGTCCTGGATATGAATGTGTTAGGTAAAGAAGACAGGATTTCAAATGTTGGTGAAAGAGAAGATGAATAAATAGAAATGGGGACAGGGAAGTCCATAAATAAATCACTTCAAGGGCTTTGCATACCTTTGCAACTTGTTCCTAAGTCCAAGAGTGAGGGGAAAAGGGATATACCTACCCTCTTAAAATAAGTCAAGGAGTAAATAGTCACACACTCTACTAATGAATAAGTCTTCTCAGAATTGACAATCCCTTCATTGAACAAGCTGAGAACCTGACTGTAAAAGCATTGTTATGAGCCTATACGGATGTCTCAGTCCCCTGAGTCATGCTAAAGAAAGAAAGAAAGAAAAAAAAAACATTGAAGTGGGAAATGGGAAGTGTAATATACAGAGATTATCTTCTTTCCTATGAGTCTGTTACCTAAGAACAAAGCAACAGAGTAAGTGCTGTCAGCAGGCAGTGAGATCAGCAACAATTTGTGTGTACGGGTCAGTGGGGGAGGAGGGTGTTATGATGGTGGAATTGTTGGACCTATCATTGTATGTAGGACTCCCTTGAGCATTTCTTGAAAGGTCAGTCTAATGGTGATGAATTCCCTCAGTTTTTGCTTGTCTGGAAAAACTATTTCTCCTTCAGTTCTGAAGGATAGCTTTTCTTGGTATAGTATTCTTGGGCACCAATTATTTTCTTTCAGCACTTTGAAAATATGGCCCTGCCATCTCCTTGCTTGTAGAGTTTCTGCAGAGAAACCTGCTGTAAGTCTAATGAGGATTCCCTTATATGTGACTTGATGCTTTTCTCCTGATGTTTTTAGAATTCTCTTTTTATCTTTGACTTTTAACAATTTGACTATAATTTGCATCAGGAAGGATCTTTTGGGGTTGAATATATTTGGGGACTTTGAGCTTACTGGATCTGGGTGTTCATAACTCTCCCAAGACTTTGAAAGTTTTTAACTATTATTTTGTTAAATAGGTTTTCTATGACTTTTCCCATCTCTTCTCCTTCCAGTTCTCTCATAATACAAATATGTGTTGCTTAATGGTGTCCCATAAGTTCTATAGGTCTTTTTCATTCTTTTTAATTTTTTCTTTTTATTTTCACTCACCTAATTTCAAACAACCTATCTTCAAGTTCAGATATTCTTTCTTCTGCTTGATCTAGCCTGGCTGTTGAAGCTCTCTGTTGTATTTTTTATTTCATTCATTGAATTTTTTAGCTGCAGGATTTCTGTTTGGTTCTTTTTCATGATATCTGTAACTTTGTTAAATTTCTCCTTCATATCATGAATTATTTTCCTAATTTTGTTGATTCTTCTATATGTACTCTCTTATATTTCACTGAATTTCCTTAAGATTATTATTTTGAATTCCTTTTCTGGCAACTTATAGATCTTTTTCTTTTCTTCCTGTGGAATCTGTTATTGAAGAGTCATTGTGTTCCTTT